AGAGAGAGGAGACCACTTTCGGCAGTGGCCACTCGTTTGCTTGGTACATGGAATCCTATGCTATGTGGTTAATAACGAGGCCAAAATATGTGTACCATGGGGCACTAGTTCGCTCCTCAAGAGTTTTCTAGGTACCACTGTGGCACCGTCGTGGCGTTCATGGGTACTTAGCCGATATCATGATACTTTCTATGGCTGTCATCGAGGATCATACCGTCTAATGAGTGCGGTTGGTCTCCGATATTGGTGGCCTAGTGTCATAAAGGACTGTTACTCCTTCGCGAGGAGCTGTCCCAGATGCCAATGCTCGAAGGCCGTTATCAAAAGGCATAGAGGAGAACTGTCATCAACAATGATGCGTGCGTCCCGCCCATGGGAGCTATTGATCAACGACTACTGCGGCCCCTTCGAGCCCGATGAATTTGGCCGAGATTATTGTTTGGTGTGCATAGATGCCTACAGTCGGTGGGTGCGGTTAATACCAACAAAGGGCTGCACATCATCAGCTGCAGCATCTGGGCTGTGGGCGGACATCATCAGTTTGCATGGTCCCCCTTCCTGTTAACATAGTGATCGAGGTCCTTCTTTCGTGGCTGGCTTTTTGGCGGAAGTTGAGGAACAATTCGGGGTGATGCACACCACAAGCGCATCCAGGGACCCGAGAGTCCAAGGAGCCGCGAGAGGGGAGTAAGAGAAATGAAGGCCATCATGAGGATAGTCGAGCATCAACTGGGAACGGCCCAAGGATGGACAGCTACCCTGCCAGTGATCGTCATGACTCACAATTTCTCTCCACCCCCTTTCGTACCTGCTATGTGCGATCTATCCCCTAAGGGGATTCCCCTTACATGCTAATGTTTGGTCGCCCAGCGCCCGACATTTTTACAGGAGGAAGAGAGGCGGGGATGGACGCCGAGGCTACAGACGATGACTCAAATAACGGTGCGATCAGCGGAGCGGACTATGCGAAGCAGATCAATGATAAGCTCAAGGAAGTTCATGAGGCATGGGATCTGGCGCGCACGATAGAAGTGTCGAAACGAGCGGATCGTTTCCGCATTGGTGCGGAACAATACCATTTCGGCGAGGTCGGTCGGGTCTTGCGAGTCACGGCACTTGAGAAACCCGGCGGGCATAAGGCAGTGGTTACAGGCCCATTTACCGTTAAACGCAAGACTGGCCGTAACTATTACGAGGTAGATGGTATCGATACTAATGTTCCGGGGCACCAGCTGCGGCCCATGATTACGGATCCAGAACTTCGTCGAGGTCTTCCTGATGATCAGCGTCCAAGAGTTATACTCGGCGGCAGAAATCTCGTCAAGATCCCATTTCAAGAACTGACGCCAGGCACGATCATTATGT